GAAGACATCAATATTGTCTGTTGTTGGATAGAAGACATCAATGTTGTCTGTTGTTTGATGGAAAGCATCAATATTATCTGTTGTTTGATGGAAGACATCAGTATTGTCTGTTGTTTGATGGAAGACATCAATATTGTCTGTTATTTGATGGAAGACATCAATATTGTCTGTTGTTGGATAGAAGACATCAATATTATCTGTTTTTTGATGGAAGACATCAATATTGTCTGTTGTTTGATGGAAGACATCAATATTGTCTGTTGTTTGATGGAAGACATCAATATTGTCTGTTTTTTGATGGAAGACATCAATATTGTCTGTTGTCTGATGGAAGACATCAATATTGTCTGTTGTTGGATAGAAGACATCAATATTGTCTGTTGTTTGATGGAAGACATCAATATTGTCTGTTGTTTGATGGAAGACATCAATATTGTCTGTTATTTGATGGAAGACATCAATATTGTCTGTTGTTTGATGGAAGACATCAATATTGTTTGTTGTTTGATGGAAGACATCAATATTGTCTGTTGTTTGATGGAAGACATCAATATTGTCTGTTATTTGATGGAAGACATCAATATTGTCTGTTGTCTGATGGAAGACATCAATATTGTCTGCTGTTTGATGGAAGATATCAATATTATCTGTTGTTTGATGGAAGACATCAATATTGTCTGTTTTTTGATGGAAGACATCAATATTGTCTGTTGTCTGATGGAAGACATCAATATTGTCTGTTGTTGGATAGAAGACATCAATATTGTCTGTTGTTTGATGGAAGACATCAGTATTGTCTGTTATTTGATGTAAGACATCAATATTGTCTGTTGTTTGATGGAAGACATCAATATTGTCTGTTGTTTGATGGAAGACATCAATATTGTCTGTTGTTTGATAGAAGACATCAATATTGTCTGTTGTTGGATAGAAAACATCAATATTGTCTCTTGTTTCATGGAAGACATCAATATTGTCTGTTATTTGATGGAAGACATCAATATTGTCTGCTGTTTGATGGAAGATATCAATATTATCTGTTGTTTGATGGAAGACATCAATATTGCCTGTTGTTTGATGGAAGATATCAATATTATCTGTTGTTTGATGGAAGACATCAATATTGTCTGTTGTTTGATGGAAGACATCAATATTGTCTCTTGTTTGATGGAAAGCATCAATATTGTTTGTTGTTTTTTGATGGAAGACATCAATATTGTCTCTTGTTTGATGGAAGACATCAATATTGTCTCTTGTTTAATGGATAGCATCAATATTGTTTGTTGTTTGATGGAAGACATCAATATTGTCTCTTGTTTAATGGAAAGCGTCAATATTGTTTGTTGTTTGATGGAAGACATCAATATTGTCTGTTGTTTGATGGAAGACATCAATATTGTCTGTTGTTTGATGGAAGTCATCAATATTGTTTCTTGTTTGATAGAAGATATCTGCATTGCTTGTTGTTTGATGGCAAGCATCAATATTTAAGCAAAACTATAAACATTTATGTTAAAATATATTAATTAAGAACTGCTACAATGATAAACATTCACATGAACTGGATAATTAATATAGTGAAATACAGTGTTAAAAATACAAACATTACATCAGGATGGTTAAATTGTATTAAATGTATTTACTGTAAATACATTACTTGGAGTTGTGATTTTGTATACATGAACTAGTAAGCTACTGCCTCCTAGTTTATGTATCTGAACTAGTAAGCTACTGCCTCCTAGTTCATGTATCTGAACTAGTAGGCTACTCCCTCCTAGCTTATGTGTCTAAACTAGTAGGCCACTGTCCCCTAATTCATGTATCTAAACTAGTAGTCTACTGCCTCCTAGTTCATGTATCTAAACTAGTAGGCTACTGCTTCCTAGTTCATGTATCTGAACTAGTAGGCTACTGCCTCCTAGTTTATGTATCTAAACTAGTAGGCTACTGCTTCCTACTTCATGTATCTGAACTAGTAGGCTACTGCCTCCTAGTTCGTGTATCTAAACTAGTAGGCTACTGCCTCCTAGTTCATGTATCTAAACTAGTGGGCTACTGCCTCCTAGTTCGTGTATCTAAACTAGAAGTCTACTGCCTCCTAGTTCATGTATCTGAACTAGTAGGCCACTGCCTCCTAGTTCATGTATCTAAACTAGTGGGCTACTGCCTCCTAGTTCATGTATCTAAACTATTAGTCTACTGCCTCCTAGTTCATGTATCTGAACTAGTAGGCCACTGCCTTCTAGTTCAGATATCAATTATTATCTGAGCAATTGTTCAGAAAACAATTTGTTATCTGTAAGTAAATAAATACTAGTTGTTCAATATTACAAAGTATAATTAGAAAGGGACAATACGTCTCTAAATAAAGTCACTAAAATGAATGAAATTAGAAAAAACTGTGCTGACCTGACGAGCACTCCATCACTTGCTTCAGATAATTAATTGGGCAAATCTGAACTTGTTCATCAGAAATTAAGAATTAATGTTCATCAGAAATTAAAAATTAGTGTTCATCAGAAATTAAGAATTAATTCGTGGGGAATCTTTCCTGATTACACAAATATTATTGAGTAAAACGCAGGTTATCGAACAATAAAAGTTGGTCCCTAATACACAAATAATCCGCACCGTTTCTGCCCGACTTGGACCATTTACAAAGTCGGTCCAAGCCGGACCGAAACGTCGTCGTAAGCTCTCTCTTTCTCCTATGTGCAGGTTATTTGTGTATTGTTCCAGTCACGGTATTGTGCCTTTGTGTTATTTAGTCCCAAGTATTTATCTTCATTCATAATGCAGTGTTGTGTACATTATAACACTGTACACAAGCAACATGGTGTTATAGTGTATTATAACACTGTACACAAGCAACATGGTGTTATAGTGTATTATAACACTGTACACAAGCAACATGAATGGTGTTATAGTGTATTATAACACTGTACACAAGCAACATGGTGTTATAGTGTAGTATAACACAAGGAGGCGGGGGTCACAGTGGCACCATCCACTAGTCAAAGTAGGTCTTCGTCCAAAGGTTGGACACGTGGTTGGTACCACTATGACCCAGCCTCCTCCTGCTTCGCCTCACCTGACTACAGTATATAAGCCACGTCTACGACCCTATGCTGTAATTTCTACAAGATTGATGGACTGAACACATCGACTCCAGCTGAGGGACTGATTACCTTAATCTCCTCTTCTCTTTACACCTTTCTACTTTGTACTGGACTGATGAAGCCACTGTGTGGCGAAACGTTTCCTCAATCTTCAACTTGTCGGTTTTCGAAACCATTCTTCACAACATGAATGGTATTATAGTTGCAATATTTCCACCTCGCTATTAAGTAGTGAGTCTAATGGTTTCTTCCACCTCTCGTTGTTTATTATATAAAGAGGTAAATTATAGATCTCATTAACAAGAAAATTCCTCTATTTAATTATATGTGACATGAATTTTTTTTCTATTTTCAATGCTTAAGTTTTTTACACATAAGTTTGTCAGTTAGGGAAGCCACACTTCTACACCTGCAACATCGTGTATGTAAACTGGTGAATGTTTTTTTGCTTAATTGATTTGATACTCCTTCCCCCCTCACTGTTCCTTCAAACGTTCAGGTGAGGGATTAGTTGCTGTGACCTTTATGATATTAAATGGAAATAATATTTCCCTCTGTTGAATATTGGCGATTTATGTAAATATATAGTCAAGTGGGTTCAAGCATCAGCCAGTTAGGTTACATCCTCACAACTTTACTCCTGTAGTTGTAGCAGAACTAGTAAACAATGTAACTAAAGTGACAACCTGAGATAAAACTTATATACAAAGAGAAGTCACAAGATTGAGTCCGGGAAAGAAAGAGATGAACAAATGAACGAATCAGTCAATGATAAGTTTGTAAGTAATTCCCACACAGTGTTGATTGTGTCATTAAGATTGTCTTCACAGCCGCAACACAGTGACTCCACAGAGCGTCATAACTGATGTTGCTACTGGATGTATTCTGGCCACTGTGCAGTCCGAGAAGTATTGTTGTATTATATGACCCCAGGATCCTGTATGTCCAGTGTACGTCCAGTGTACGTCCAGTGTACGTCCAGTGTACGTTAGTGTACGTGAAAAGATTATAAAGAGTGTGACATAGGTATGTTATGCAAGTATTAACGTCGAAGAATCAACACGAATCGAACTTGCTATTCAAATTCGATTCGTGTTGATTAAGTCAAACATTACATTAAGTCAAACCTTCCACTAAGGAGAGTCAGAGTTGAAGAAAATCTAAAGACAAATTCTTTTATCTCAGATGGATCAATATCCTAAAAGAAATATCAAAATATTATGAAATACTGACAGGTTGGTAAGACACATTTGGAAGATTTACTTGTTAATTCGTCCAGGCCAGCCTAGCAACACCTCACACTCAGTCGTCCAGGCCAGCCTAGCAACACCTCACACTCAGTCGTCCAGGCCAGCCTAGCAACACCTCACACTCAGTCGTCCAGGCCAGCCTAGCAACACCTCACACTCAGTCGTCCAGGCCAGCCTAGCAACACCTCACACTCAGAGTCGTCCAAGGTAGCCTAGCAACACCTCACACTCAGAGTCGTCCAGGCCAGCCTAGCAACACCTAACATTCAGAGTCGTCCAGGGTAGCCTAGCAACACCTCACACTCAGAGTCGTCCAGGCCAGCCTAGCAACACCTAACATTCAGAGTCGTCCAGGCTAGCCTAGCAACACCTCACACTCAGAGTCGTCCAGGCCAGCCTAGCAATACCTCACACTCAGAGTCGTCCAGGCCAGCCTAGCAACACCTCACACTCAGAGTCGTCCAGGACAGCCCAGCAACACTTCACACTCAGAGTCGTCCAGGCCAGCCTAGCAATACCTCACACTCAGCCTTGTTGCAACACCTACTTGTTTACTGTGAACGTTTTCTTCATATAATTTCATAATAATTATGCATAAAACGTATATAATTGTTTTTTCCTTCTTTTACAGAAAGAAGAGGAAGAATATTATGCTGACGTGGGAGATGGCAAGTGCCCTTTTTTTCTCGTTTATTTAAAGTGTTTGTGTTTTTCGTCAGTGAAATACTCATTGAATTGAATCAGTAATGTAGAAAGAACAGTTCTGTTGTCTGTCGAGTTGCTATTTACAAATGATTTGCAAGTAACTACTTCCTCAGGTTGATCAGACTTGTGTGGGTTGAAAAGAAGGAAAATTTTGTGTTCTGCAAATTCTGAATGAGGTGTCCTACTGTTAAGATAATATTTATGTTGTACTAAAAGAAAGTATCTTTGTCCATTGCAAAGTTATTTAGGCCGACGCTCTCTTACAAAAGCATTTGTTCTGAATGACCTAGCATGGCTGTCGAAGACTTTATGAACTGTCTTTGGAATATAGACGATAGATCTTGATTCGCCGGTACTCTCCTGGCTCGGGTCTTTTCCAGATGATGACCTGGCCTTGGCTCCCTGTCTTGGGAGTGTCTCAGATCTATGTTTCCCATGGGAGGAGGTACGAGGACCTCCTCATCTTCTGGGACCAACTATAGATGATTAGGATTAATGAGATGAGAATATTCAGACTTTTGGGAAATATGACAACATTCTTTGTTCCTGTCCACTATATCGCATTTAGAACGTTTGTTTTTTATTCAACTCACCTGACTTATCTTCCTCAGGCAGGTGACTTAAAAAGAAAAACTTTTGGTTTTTCTTTTTAAATTTAATAATTTATATAGAAGTGGTCACTAGCCCCTTTATTATGAACACAGGTGAAGAATGGCCTGTGAGACCTGGTCGTAACGTGAACGTGGAACAAACCAAACTCAATAGAATATAATATATATTTGCCTTCACCAGATGATTTATACATGTACATTATATACATTATGTACAGCTGGAGCAGTAAGTGTACACTACGGTGAGATTTGTCAAAGCAGAAGCCAGAGAGAGTGTACCGTAGCAACCAGCAGGCGGGCTTGCTTGTGATTGGCCAATTAACGAAGGTACTGATTTAACGGCGGGTACCGTAACGATCGTTAAACCCTTAGCACCTGGTTGTGAGGCAGCCTATATGGGAGTGTGACATACACCGAATAAATTGTAACATACTCTTTGCCTGGCAGCTAAAGTTCTCACTTCATACAGCGAGGGTCTGGGTTCGAATTCCAGCAAGGGTAGAAACATTGGACGTGTTTCTTTTCACCGGTTGTCTATGTTCACCCATCAGTAAAATGGGTACCTGGGTGTTAGTGGACTGGTGTGGGCCGCATCCTGGGACTAAACTGACCTAATTTGCGGGAAATGCTCAGCATAACAAGCGGCTTCCTATATAGTAGTATGTCATTGATGTCAGCTATTTGTCTAACCTATTTTTATGTTACCCAAGCAATTGCTTTCATGTCCATTTACTCACTACTACTACTACTACTACTACTACTACTACTACTACTACTACTACTATTACTACTACTACTACTACTACTACTACTACTACTACTACTACTACTGCTGCTGTTGCTGCTGCTGCTACTGCTGCTACTACTACTACGACTACTATTACTATCACTAGTGCTGCACCTCACTCTGAGCCTATATATACCCTCTGTGTCCATGTACTGTTTATAACAGCTTGACAGAGCTCCTGGAGAGCGAAACGTTGCCACAATAATAATGTCACATTAGTTGCACTTGTGTCCTTTTACTTTACATATGGTTTGTACAACTTTTACATGTACTTGTAGTAAATAAAGATATTGTTATTATTATTATTATTATTATTATTATTATTATTATTATTATTATTATTATTATTATTATTATCATTATTATTATTATTATCATTGCACCCGGCATATTAGTCACTTCTTATGACACAGGTCGCTTACAGAGGAAAAATTCCTTTCCATTTTCCCGTGGAGATCCACGAGGTATAATCAGAAATTTTAGCACTACTCCCACTTTCTGACGTCTAGTAATCTCCCGTTGCAACCAAATCAGGAACAATTTTGTTTAACACACTGGTCGTCTCCCACTATTGCGGGGTGACCCAAAAACGAAACACCTCCCGCATCATTCATCCAACAGCTGTCTTGTCAGAAATGTACAGATATTCTGTTTCAAATGGTCCTCCGAAAGTGACACTCTCATTCCGCCATCAGAGTGCTAGCACTGTACTTCCAGCCTCTTGGAATCATAAATAAGACCATGCTCTCGTTCTGACACTATATCAAGATATAAGAACAACTTATTTACATTCACTCCTATCTAACCTCTCTCCTACATACAGTAACCTAAACTTCACTGTCAACTGTTGTAAGTAGTCTACCATTTATTCCACATATTTACAACAACTGTCACTATACTTTCCTATTGTTCTTATCAACTGTCATTCCTACATTCATAAATGCAATACAAAGTTAGTTACTTTTATCCAGCATGGTTTCATTTGCTGCAGTGTAAACACCCGGACTGCTTTGATCCAGCATGGGTTCACTTGCTTGCCTCAGTGTAAACACTTGGACTACTTTTATCCAGCATGGGTACACCTGCTTGCCTCAGTGTAAACACCCGGACTACTTTTATCCAGCATGGGTTCACCTGCTTGCCTCAGTGTAAACACTTGGACTACTTTTATCCAGCATGGGTTCACCTGCTTGCCTCAGTGTAAACACCCAGACTACTTTTATCCAGCATGGGTTCACCTGCTTGCCTCAGTGTAAACACTTGGACTACTTTTATCCAGCATGGGCTCACCTGCTTGCCTCAGTGTAAACACCCGGACTACTTTTATCCAGCATGGGTTCACCTGCTTGCCTCAGTGTAAACACTTGGACTACTTTTATCCAGCATGGGTTCACCTGCTTGCCTCAGTGTAAACACCCAGACTACTTTTATCCAGCATGGGTTCACCTGCTTGCCTCAGTGTAAACACTTGAACTACTTTTATCCAACATGGGTTCACTTGCTTGCCTCATGTCCTGAACTTCCTAAAATTTCCTTATTTTTTGCACTCCTACTCTCTGTTTTATCCTTAACTTTTTTCTATGATAATTTTTTCCATACACTTTACCTAGTATAATAAATAGGATTCTTCCCTATAATTTCGCACTATCTTTTATCTCTTTTTTCCTTATACATAACTATGCAAGTTGTCTGCCAAGCATTAAATATCATCCTCGGAATAATGCATATATTTAACCAATACATCAATCACTCCAAAACTACATCCCCAACTGCTTTTAGGAATTTCTATCTTCATGCAGTCTATACTAGTTGCTTTACCCACTTTCGTTCTATCCACTGTCTCAACCAGTGGGTAGAATGAGAGAGGCTCTTCCTCACTCCTAAAATGTGTTATACTTTCCTGTCCAATGAAAGAAATCACTGCCTCTTTTTGTCTCTTCACTAACGCTCAAGAGTTGTTCAGAATATTACCTCCGCCTTCCTAGTATCTCCATCTCCACATTTAATGGCTCCTCTCTCTTAATTTTAACTGATAAACACATTTGTTCCCTCGGTTCACTCACATAAATTATCTCACTCCTAAACCTGTTCTTATTCTTAGGAAAGTTTGTTGATAAAACCTCACCCACTATCACATTAGCTCTTGTTTTATACTCCCTCACCAATCTTTTAAACTCTCATTTACTCTCCATGTTCTCCTTCCGTGTATCTTTTTAACTTTGTTAAAATCTTTCGTATGTCAACTTTTTCTCCCATATTGTCTTCCTTACCTCTTCATCCCACTAACTGCTCTTCTTCCCACCTACACCCACCCTCCTATACCCATAAACATCTGCTGCACACTCAAACACTGCATTCTTAAATCCACCTCATACCTCCCCAACATTATACTCATTACCTAAACCCTCCAGAGACCACCTTTCTCCTTATCATTGATTACATCTTTCCCCCTAACTATCTCCTCCATTAACTTATAAATTGTCACTTTTCTCTTGCCCACTGATGACATTATAATAATAATATTATTATTTTCATAATAATAATAATAATAATAATAATAATAATAATAATAATAATAATAATAATAATAATAATAATAATAATAATAATAATAATAATAATAATAATAATAATAATAAGTGGTAAGTTACTAAATGCTGTAAAGAGCTTTTATGAGGATAGTGAGGCTCAGGTTAGGGTGTGTAGAAGAGAGGGAGAATACTTCCCGGTAAAAGTAGGTCTTAGACAGGGATGTGTAATGTCACCATGGTTGTTTAATATATTATAGATGGGGTTGTAAAAGAAGTAAATGCTAGGGTGTTCGGGAGAGGGGTGGGATTAAATTATGGGGAATCAAATTCAAAATGGGAATTGACACAGTTACTTTTTGCTGATGATACTGTGCTTATGGGAGATTCTAAAGAAAAATTGCAAAGGTTAGTGGATGAGTTTGAGAATGTGTGTAAAGGTAGAAAGTTGAAAGTGAACATAGAAAAGAGTAAGGTGATGAGGGCATCAAATGATTTAGATAAAGAAAAATTGGATATCAAATTGGGGAGGAGGAGTATGGAAGAAGTGAATGTTTTCAGATACTTGGGAGTTGACGTGTCGGCGGATGGATTTATGAAGGATGAGGTTAATCATAGAATTGATGAGGGAAAAAAAGGTGAGTGGTGCGTTGAGGTATATGTGGAGTCAAAAAACGTTATCTATGGAGACAAAGAAGGGAATGTATGAAAGTATAGTAGTACCAACACTCTTATATGGATGTGAAGCTTGGGTGGTAAATGCAGCAGCGAGGAGACGGTTGGAGGCAGTGGAGATGTCCTGTCTAAGGGCAATGTGTGGTGTAAATATTATGCAGAAAATTCGGAGTGTGGAAATTAGGAGAAGGTGTGGAGTTAATAAAAGCATTAGTCAGAGGGCAGAAGAGGGGTTGTTGAGGTGGTTTGGTCATTTAGAGAGAATGGATCAAAGTAGAATGACATGGAAAGCATATAAATCTATAGGGGAAGGAAAGAGGGGTAGGGGTCGTCCTCGAAAGGGTTGGAAAGAGGGGTAAAGG